GAGTGAGTATGAGAATGTACTCAAAGATATGATGCCAGTCAGCAGCAGCTGACTTGGATCATGATCTGGACTTATTTAGTATTTCATAGAAAGATCTCAAAGTAATACAAAATGTATTTAAGTAGAATGTCTCTCTCTTGAGAGGCTAAATTCTAATCCTCTGTACATTACTCTGCTCTCTACTTACAACAGGTTATGGGCCCCAGCCATAATCAAACTTATGTTGCTACTCACTTCACACTCTTTTATACTTTACATACACATGTAGAACTGCATAGATAGCCAGTCTATGTATAAAATTGACTCCCTTAAGGGTTCAGAAAATTACCCAACATAGAAAATCAAAATAATTGATATCCTAACCAATTTAGAACTAATTGATTATGCAGACAGAAGCACTCTGGCCCTGGCAGACACAACACTGGTGGCAGATTGGAAGAAGAGTGATAGGAAGGCTCTTTCAACAATAAGATTGTAGGTTTCAGATGGTCCACTGATATATATTGCTGGTTCAAAGACTTTGGCAGAAGCCTGAAAAGCTCTGAAAGATATGTATGAGTCCAGAAGACCTATGGGAATTGTCCTTGTCAGAAGGAAATTCTTCAGAGCTCAGTGTGAAGAAGGAGGAAATATAGAGGAGCACATTAGGACTATGAGATCCTATCAGGAGGAGCTGGCATCTCTTAAGCAGAAAGTTAAGGAGGAGGACTTCTCTATTACACTGCTTACATCACTCTCAGAATCATAGAATTCATTCATCTCATCAGTGGATACTGCTGACTTGAAAGATTCTTACAAGTTGATTTCTCAAATTCTTCAGAAAGACTTCTGATTAAAAGAAAAGACTTCTGATCAGACCACAATATTTGCAGCACATGGCAAGAATCCAATCTGAAAGTTACATGTTATAGATATGGGAAAACTGGTCACATCAGAACAAATTGTCTAAATAGAAAGAAGAATTCTGGAAAGTTATGGAAAGGAAAGAGAAGAGGCCAGACTCAGACACATGTTGCTAAATCAGAAGAAGACTATGTATTTTATGCAACAGACATTGCACTTATCTCACTCTCAGGAGTATCATGGCTAAGAGACTCTGGCATTATCAGATATATAGTCAAAAATAGATTATATTTTTCTGACTATATTGAGACCCCAGAATATGAAGTTATTGGTGTAGGCAAATTCAAAGGCTTAAGAAGAGGAACTGTCAAGATTAAAATGGTTGAAGGAGAAAAGATCACTCCAGTCACACTAAAAGAGTGTATCCACTGTCCTGATACACCATTCAATCTTATGTTGATAGAATGCATTACAGATGCTGGATTTGAACTAAAATTCAAAGAGTCCAGAATGGATATTATCTCACCACATGGTAAGACAATTGGCTATAGAGATAAAATATCAAAGCTGTACAGCTTTGACATTATTGTTTCAGAAATAACCCAGGCCCATACTATGAAATCAGTCTGATCATGATAAAAGTGGCATAAAACATTAGGCTACTTAAATATGGAATCAGTAAAGAGACTATTTAGAAAGAACATAGTCAAGGGGATGGATGTAGATGAGTCAGCCAAGCATCATACCAAGCCATTTCTACAGGAAGCTGAAAGGAACTATACTGAAATAGGGGAAATGATATTTTTGGATCTATGAGGGCTGGCCCAAACTCAGGGTATCCATGGTAAAAGATATTATATAAGCTTCACAGATGGAAAATTCTAGAGAATAATGCTGTATTTTTTGAAGTCAAAGCAAGACAAGAAAATCTAAAAAAAGATCCAGCAGTATCAAAAATATATCAAAGTCCACAAAGAGAAGGATTTGAAGTTTATGAGAATTGACAATGGAAAGAAATATATCAATAAAGAGATAAAGGAATATCTCTAGGACAATGGCATACAGTTGAAATTGACTGCAGCATACTTTTTATCTCAAAATAGAGTTGCTAAGAGAATAAATCAGACTCTTGTGGAGCATACACATGCTATGCTAGAAGAACATCACTTACTGAAGTTTCTATGGCCCAAGGCAGTGGCACATGCCACATACCTGAAGAACTGACCACCAATCAGGGCCATCAAAAATGATCTGACCCTAGAAGAAGTGTTTCAGAGCGTGAAACCAGATATTTTAGCACTTCAGAAATTTGGAGTAAAGTGCTGGATGTTGCAGCAAGACAACAAGAAGTCAAAACTGAACTCAAAGTCAAGGAAATTTATTTTTACAGATCTTACAGATGAATTCAGAGCCTGAAGATATTATAACTCTCAAATCAGGCAGATTCAGACCTCAAGAAATGTCATATTCTCTGAAAGCAATACTACAGAGTCTATAGACACTGACTATATAGTCCTCCACTCTTCATTGTTCAAGAGGGAGTCAGAGAGCAAAGTTGAGCAGACTCTGGATGGAAATGATGGCATTTTGAATGATTCTATGAGTGCCAGAAATGCTGAATCAAAAGGAGAAACAGCTTCTGATGTGTCATCAATCAAATTAAAGTTCCCAATATAGCATGAAAAAGTGATTGAGTCACATGACAAATCAGCCTGAATTGCATCAAAGACTCAACCAAGTTATCAGACACTTTATAATCCAAGTGCATAAGCTGTGAAAACATCAGAACAACAGCATACCTCAGAAGAATCATCTTTGAAAGCTATAAATATTGCAATAGACTATGCATGCATTGGAGAAACTGCAGACAACCCCAGTGATGAGCCATTAAGCCTTGAAGAAGCTAAGACAAGATCAGACTGGCATTATTGGAAGAAAGCAATAGATGGAGAATACAATCTATTGACTTCCCTAGGCACATGGCAGCTGGAAGAATTATTCAAAGACAGATCACTTGTGAATTGCAAGTGGACTTACAGATTGAAAAGGAATAGTGATAGGAAAATCACCAGACACAAGATCAGACTTGTTGCAAAAGGATTTTCACAGATACTCAGCATTGATTTCTTTGAGACATATGCACCCATTGTCAAACTGGACACATTTTGCCTATCTATGGTAATTGCTGCTTAAAGAAACCTAATCATTTATGGAATGGATGTTGTTGAAGCTTACTTAAATGGTAAACTCAATGAATCCATCTATATGGCACAGCTTCCTGAATATTCAGATGGAAGTGGAAAAGTGGCACATCTCAAATGAACATTGTATGGACTCAAGCAATCTGGCTGAGTTTAGAACAATAAATTAAATGCTATATTTTTGGGATTTGAATACACCAGATTGATCAGTGATCAATGTGTATACATCAGACAAATGAGTTCTAGTTTCATAATTGTAGCTGTACATGTCAATGACATGACATTACTTGCCTCAGATGATGAAACCATGTCTAAAATGAAAAAAGAGCTTAAGAAGAAGCTAAATATCACAGACATGGAGAAGATTCAATATATGAAAATAGACAGAAATTGGGATAAGAGCACTATCACTCTATCCCAAAAGGCATATATTCTCAAAATACTTGAGCAAATAGGCATGAATGACTGCAAACCAGTCAAAATGCCTATGGACCCAAATGTATGGCTAGAGAAAATTCCAACAGAAGATCCACAAGGTGTTGTCAACACACAGCCACCAGACAATATTACCATACTGGTGTCAGATCACTAATGTATGTGGCCAATGGATCTCAGCCTGACATTGCACATGCCATCACTGAATTAAGCAAATATATGCAGAATCCAGCTGCTAAGCATGTCACAGCCTTGAAGTGAGTTTTCTGCTATCTGAAGGAGACTCTAGACTTCAGAATCACATATAGAGGGACTATGAATGAGCTGATACCTTATTCAGACTCAGACTGGGGAGAAGACAGAGCAGATAGAAGATCAACATCTGGTTATATCTGTATCTATACAGGGGGGGCTGTTACTTGGAGCTCAAAGAAACAGCCCACCATAGCCTTATCCACTATAGAAGCAGAATATATGGCCCTTGCACACACAACCCAGGAAGTAATTTGGCTACAAGTACTCTTAACTGAATTAGGATTGCCACCTTATGAAGCAACAACTATTTTTGTTGACAATCAATCAGCAATCAAATTTGCTGAGAACCTCATGTTCCATGCACAATTGAAGCATATAGACATATGGCACTACTTTATTTGTGAGTGCATAGCTTCAAATGAAGTCAAAATTCAGCACTGTGCATCAGAGAAGAACTTAGCAGATATATTCACTAAAGGTCTACCAAGACCATCACATGAATATCTATCTGCAGGTATTCTAGAAACTCAGAATTGAGGGGGAGTGTTGGGATAGCAATCCTGAGTGAGTATGAGAATGTACTCAAAGATATGATGCCAGTCAGCAGCAGCTGACTTGGATCATGATCTGGACTTATTTAGTATTTCATAGAAAGAT